TTATTATTTTAACAAGATTATTAGCAATTTTATAGTATTCTATATAGTTGTTGTTTTAATATTATCAACATACATAACATAAAGTAATTTTATATTCTTAACGAGAAGAGCATATAATTAATTTTTTAGTAATTTTATAGTATAGTAATTTTAGTAGTCAATGCATGTACTATGTTCTAACACTTAGTATATATATTTTAACACTTAATGTTAAGCGCTATTGAGCTATGGGAAATGGCGCTATATAAATGAATAATAATAATAATAATATTCTAATTTCCGCACGCAACACAAAATTATACAAAATTTGCGAACTTTGCAAGGCTATATTTTCCGCATTTTACAACATTTCGCAACCAAACTTTGCAATTATTTTACTTATTCTATAGTATTCTCTTTCCGGGAATATACTTTTTTGGCCAAAATAAAAAATAGTCTATAATGGGAATTGTCTATTATTAAACACCGAAGACAGGTGTATATCAACTTTTTCGTTAAAAAACTCATTAATAATTCATGAAGAAAAGACAAAGAAAAATCATAAGCGTGTCGTATCTGTATATGTGATACAGATTCATGTTATTTACATAAACTTTAACTATGATTTTCTCGGCTTAGACAACGTTTATTTTTAAAATTACTTCGCCAATGAACTCATAAGATGAGTCGTTTTTTAAGCCATTCGCGTCCGTGTTGTATCGGATATACAAACTCTCGCCTTCGGCTCGAGTTTGTATATCCGATACAACACGGCCGCTCATGTTGTAAATAGTACATATTGCTTTTAAATCGAATGATTGTTATAGCCATTTGTTGGCATTGCAAGAAAGATACTGCATCTGTTTTATTTTGACCATTATTCTATTGTAATTATTAATTTTGGATCACAATGAATGTTTGTGATGAATGTTTATAACAATGTAAACTCCAGCTGTATTAAATAAGCTGAATAGGCTAGCCACATGTACGCAGTGCGTACCTATTTTTGTACTTTTCTCTTCCAGTAAATATTCGCCTTAAAACAATCCGATTTAGGACCGCCATATTACTTTTGAAAATTGTTGGATTGAAATCCAAAGAATTAAACAAAAAAACGTAGTCATCGGATGCATTTATAGGCACCCATCGCAAAATCGCGAGACTTTTCACGAAGCTATCGAGACAAAATTAAACTTATTAACTGATGAAAACTGTGAGGTTTACATAACAGGTGATATAAACATAGACTTTTTAAAATACCATACAGACAATAAAACATCCGATTATCTTGACATGTTACTCAATCTCGGTTTTTTGCCAATAATTACTAAAGCTACCCGAATTACCGACCATATTGCCACACTCATTGACCATATGCATATCTATACAAATTGTCCTCAAAAGTGGTTAAATCTGGTGTCTGCCTTGTGGGTATATCAGATCATTTGCCTGTTTTTTGTACAATTGAAAACAAACTTCCATTTATACAAGAAAGGAAATACTATAGAGACTTTTCTAAATTTAACAATGAACTATTTATTGATGATCTCAATAAAATAAATTTTAATAATTTTTAGGGGTGCACCGGATTTGGAATTTTCAAATCCGGCCGGAACCGGATTTACCGGATTTGGACAAAAATTCCGGCCGGATTTGCCGGATTTAAAATAAACCGGTAATGG